TTTTAAGAAAAATAGCTTAAAACAATTTATTTTAAGAGTAGCACAAGCAAAACTTAATTTTACAAACACCTAAAAAAGATTATAAGCAAAAAAAAGGATAATAATCACTTTCAAAAAGCTCATATATGGAGTATTTATAGCAATAGTATATTATTTGAAATACAATTGATTATTCGATGAATAAACATTATAATAACTTTCACAATTTCGGTTTAATCTATACTGTAATGAAATTTAGTCAAAGGTCAACAGGATTCTCTCTCTCTCTCTCTCTCTCTCTCTCTCTCTCTCTCTCTGGGCTTGCGCTTTCTCTTTCTCTATATATATATATATATATATATATATATATATATATATATATATATATATATATATATATATATATATATATATATATATATATATATATATTTATATTTGTCAAGGAGATGAGAAATACAATATAATATATCGTTTCAACTTATTTTTAAATTTTTCAAATTTCATTTGTTCCAAGTTTTGTGGTAAAAATAAATAGTGCAATAATAATAGTATTTATATAATATATTCAAGTTGGTTTAATGTATAAAATAATATTAATGAAAAAAATATAGGGTAAATTCCACTTTACCCCCTCGTACTCTGCCTGAGAGTCATTTAACCCCCTCATACTCTCAATTTTATCTATGTACACCCCTGTAATTGTACAATATCTCAATACAGCCCTCTCCGTCAACTTTTTTCAATTTTGACTCTGACGCCGTTTGGTCAACTCTGAAAATTACAAAATTGCCAGTGCCTATAACACATCGTTTCTTCTCCGTCAACATTATCGTTTCTTCTTCTTCCACCACTTCCCCTTACAAGATATCCCCAAATTGAAGCCCTAACTCAGCAAAAATCAAGACCCAAAAATTGATCGATTCCACCCGGTACAAAGAAAAAAATATATGAATGTGTGAAACTTTCTCTTTTCTAAACTCGAGAGGCTACTGAAATAAGGTATTTTGTGTTCTCTCGATGGATTTTCAGTAGTGGTGGTGCTTGCCTTTTACTTATTTTTTTAAACTCTTTGTTCTCAACTTTCTTCACAAATTTTTATTGTTTTCTTCCATAAGATATCCCCAATTTGGGGATATCTTGTAAGGGGAAGTGGTGGAAGAAGAAGAAACAACAATGCTGACGGAGAAGAAACGATGTGTTATAGGCATTGGCAATTTTGTAATTTACAGAGTTGACCAAACGACATCAGTGTCAAAATTGAAAAAAGTTGACAGAGAGGACTGCAATGGGAAATTGTACAAGTACAGGGGGGTACATTGATAAAATTGAGAGTACGAGGGGGTTAAGTGACTCTCGGGCAGAGTATAAGGGGGTAAAGTGGAATTTACCCAAAAATATATATATATTTCTTAGTTTTTAGCCAAAATATGGGATTCCCGATCCCAATCCCGAATTCCCGAAATATTTAGGGATACCGATATTACCGGGATTTAATATTATGGGACGGGATTGGGATTTAAAATTTCTATCCCGAATCCCGAAATCCCGATCCCGAAAATCCCGAATTCCCGAAATCCCGTCCCGAACTCACCTCTACATAAATATAATAAATAGGGGGTTCACTCAAAAACTTTTAACTTCTTGAATGTTTTTCCACAAAATGCATATAATACATTTAAAATCCTCTTTCTGACTTTGATCGTCCGA